TGCTGTGTTTGTGTAGAGTAATTCAGAAAGTCACACAGCCAATTAAAACAGACCAAAGCAATTATGATATGGATTATTTGTAGTCATCTACTATTGGAAGTGCCTTGCATAAAGCAGTATAGAAATTGAACCCATGTTAATTGCACAAAAATTTTCTTTTCTATATTCCAGATGTCGACATGGAACTCACTAAGCATCCAACATTTACACGTTCCCCAAGCGAGGACAGCTCTCCAAGCCCGACTTCTGACCCCCAGCGCAAGCTCAGCAAGAACAAAAGGATGTTACCTGTTGTACCAGGGGTTGATGAAGAACCTAATGGAAATGTAAACGGTAATTTCAAACACTCTGAGACAAGTCCATTTCAGACTCCACAAGAGCAAGAAGAGTATGTTGTAGATGAGAGTAATAAGTATGGTACATACACCAAAAGAGGAAGAAAGTCACGAGGTAGTGTGATCAGTAATACCATGGCACCTGAGCCATCGGTAGCACCAGTACGAAGAACTCAATTGGAGAGTAAACCAAAAGAAGAGCAAGTCTGGGTGAAGGTTAGCAGTAGTCTTGATACAGAATGCCTTTTGAAGGACACCGAGGATTATATGAAAAGTCTGGAATCCAGAGTTCGTCAAAATACATTTTCTACCTCTCCAGATCATTCTGAAGGAGTAGACACTTCCCAACGATGTGATGCTGATGAATCAGATGTTGATACAACCAGTAATGTCAGTAACATTGAGGTAGAGAGCAGTAAAAAGACATGGCAGCCAAGTAAAGGGAGACATCAAAGAAGCCGGTCAGATTTCTCCACTAAAGATATGATGGAAGAAACAAAGAAAGACAGAAAGAGACGGACATCTGGTCAGGCCAGTTCAGTAACCGATTCCACCTCTAAAAAATCTTCCAGTATTTGGAGTAGACTTTCTACTCCATATAAACATAAGGTCACACCAAAAGACCCAGAGACTATGAGTGATACTGGTGAAGTTCCGGCATTTAGGCGGAATTCTGTTCATACTGCTTCTCTACCAGGTAGCAGACGTAAATCTACCTCTTCTGTTAGCCAGAAAGAAGCACAGAAGAAAGCTCAAACTCCTAAACTTCAGCGCAAGAGCAAATCTCCCTTGCCACAACCAAGACAGACTCGAAGTACAATGCTTCGAAAGTCACGTTTTGAGGACCAAGACACCAGTGAACTCAGTGACGTAAGTCCAAAGTCAAGCATTTCGGATCTTGGTCCTTCATCTTACTCAAAGAAACCTCCCATCTCAAAATCTTCCACATCCAATGCAAAGGCAAAACAGGTTCAGTCACGACTTAACAGCGGACAAACAAATAGGTCCTCTCAAGGAGGCAAAAGTGCACGGAGCGATGTCAGTCTTGGTGCGCAAATATCACAGCTTTCACAGACTCAGATTGAACGTGAACGTGTGCGAAATCAGACTCGCAGGCAAAGTTCATCCTCAGCAAAAAGCAACTTCCAAGCTAAGGTCAACGAGCGTACAGATCCCAAACCAAAAGAAACTCGATGGCGACGCTATGAATCTACTGGTTCAGAAACCGAAGCAGTCAATGCATATATAAAATCTGTGAACACTCGAAAACAACAAAAGTCACAGGTGAACGACCTGAAAAATGACTCTAGAAGGAGGAGGGCATCCGTTGGTAATAGGTCGCAGTTGGAGGTTGAACAAAGGCAGTACTTTGAAACTTCAATTGATGATGTTATTGATTGTAATGGAAATGGAACCACTGATGACCGTTTGTCAAGAGGAGAAGGAGATGGTGAAGCCCAAGAAACTGAACAAGTGGCCAAGGATGAGGTGAATCTACAACCTCCCCTTAAGCTCTGTCCACACTACCAAGATTTATGTAACAAAATCTGTGATTTCCCTATGTGTGTGTTATGGCATCACCATGCCCATATATAAGCAATTATATACTTACCCGGTATCACATTTAATTTGATAGTGTGGACAGAGCCTTATTTTTTGTCTGTTTTATTATGTCACTTGTCACATATAATTTCATGGTGTGAACAGAGCCTTATTTTTTGTCTATTTTATTGTTATGTCACTTTTCACATATAATTTGATAGTGTGAACAGAGCCTTATTTTTTGTCTATTTTATTGTTATGTCACTTTTCACATATAATTTGATAGTGTGAACAGAGTCTTATTTTTGTCTATTTTATTGTTATGTCACTTGTCACATAATTTCATGGTGTGAACAGAGCCTTATTTTTTGTCTATTTTATTGTTATGTCACTTTTCACATATAATTTCATGGTGTGAACAGAGCCTTATTTTTTGTCTATTTTATTGTTATGTCA